CCCACAAACTAATACTTTATTGTTAACTCATCATGAGGCAGCAATCGAGACGTGTAAGGATGATTTAAGCAAAAATTAGGCGAAAGAGTCCGCTGTAGAGTTCAAGTAGCCGCTGTGACCATAAAAAATCCAATTTTAAAACTGAGAATGCCGAGCTTTTAAAATCACACCATATACGCCTCAAGTGGGATGTTAATCAAAATGTATTGAGATCTGCTCAATTTGAAAATTGCTGGAAGATTTAGACTCAGTGCCAATTGAACGGCGAACGATTTTCATAAATCAAATTCATGTATCAGAGGTGGAAATATTTGACGAACACGGTTCAACCAAAAGAAAGAAATGCAAATGGAAAGGGCATGGTACAGTACAAATATGAAAATAAGAAAAACTAAAATAAATGAAAAATAAATAAAATAAATGGAAAACGAATATAGAAAACAAACAAAAAAACCCCTTCTGTAAACCATGTCAATATAATTTTGTGAATACCAGGTAAATTGAACGAAATTATAAAAGGGATCGAGACAGTGCTTCTTTGGTATCAGTCATTGTCCTTTTTCATCAAGCCTTTCCCTTCGGTCGAATTTCGGGGCGATTCGTCATCTGACCACTTATCTCCGTCTTCTCCAACAGCGAAGATAGTTTCACCATCGAGTGAGTGTCTGTTTTGGTTTGACGACGATTCCGCAGGTTTTGGTCGAACAGGAGAATGACCTCTTTCGGTATCATCCGATCCTGTTATACCAACCCTCTCCTCGTCAAGTGAGCTGCCAAATGAGCGAATTTCAAATCCATCATCGTCTTGCGCAATCTACAGGAATGTTAGATATTCGTAACCATATTAACTAGGGGAGAATTCGGGCCTACCTCATCACTCATTGCGAATCGTCTATTATTCACGGTTGGTCTCCAAAGGTATGCAACAAAAGCAATATCGAACAGATAGACAATATTGAGCCAACCATCCAGTACAAACCATCTTGACTTCCAGTGGTCCGGAACAAAGTCTGCGACGTTGCGACTCGCGAAGACAAAGGAGTTGATAAAAAAGAAACCGAAAATAACAACAATGCTGCCAAGGATGCACCACCATAACTTCTTATACATCATAGCTTTCACGTTTTGTTTTCTGTCAATTAAATTTTTCATCGTCGCGCTCAAAGAGTTCAGCGTCCACACGTAGAACGCCGTTAGCGTTCCCGCAAGGGGGAGAATCACAAGAAGAACCAAAGGCCCAGCACTATCAGGCGTGATGGACAGACTTGCCACAGCGTATATAACACCGAAGAAAAAGTGTCCCAATGGCAAGGAATCGGACATAGACCATGGTGCGGCCAAGTGAAGGTTTCACAACACCATAACCCATGCAAACGATTAGGAGCAAGAAAAATGAGAATGAATTGCGCCCGGCATTAAGTACAGCAACAATGACCATAAGCACTTTGGCTATAGCGTTCGCACCGTGTCGATTTTGATAGTCTGGAAGCTCGTTAGATGTGCGACATGATGCATCTTGATGTGAGCATTGGTAAGCACTAACCATAGAAACCCCAGGTCATAAGTTGTTCCACAATGAGAAACACAATGATAGCTGTGATGTAATTTTGGACGGGCACTTTGGGCGTATTAGTAAGAGGATAGAGGGTATCCATGGGTAGGAATGATGAGTGGAAAAAGGTATACTGACGGATATCATGTCGGTTCTGTACATATAAAAATGCCCAGAAACTGATGTTGGTTAGTTTTTGCCAAACATTGTTTTGGGACTATACTTACATTCCAATGACTGCGTAAACGATCGTTAAAGCTCCATAAAATGGGAGCTTTGGAATTTGGGGAGCTGGGAGCTCTCCGTACGAATTGCTAAAGGTTACGACGCCCTCGTAGTCATCACCAGAGAAAGCGTACGTGCTAACACAATAAAATCCCGTTTTGGCTATGGGATAGTTTATAGGCTTAGGATCTTTTAGGTTGATGGCCGTTGAAATAATCGGAGACTTCGATATTTTCGTAGCGTTCTCAGCCAAGATGAATGAACCTAGCTCTTCCTGTGTACACAGTTTGGCTGCGATGTTTTCCTGGTCACATATGGGCTCCTTTTGCACCTGGGGTGAGTTAACATATGAATGTAATGAATAAAAAACAGACGAGCATTTATGGACATGCCTTCTCCTTGTCGCCTTCAGGATATCTCCCAATCAAATTTTCGTCCTTCCACTCAAATATGACCACACTAACAAGATGATCAGCCTCCTGGTTCTTTAGTTCGCCCTTTTCAATTACAGCCAGAATAAATGGGTCCCGTTCCCCTCCCCAAGCTTTCCGGCTGTACATTCCAGAACATTGTTGCCGATTCGCTTCATCTTGTTTCTACAAATAATGGAAGTAGTCAGTCAAGTGTACCTTCTTAGGGGATCTCATTTTCTTCCACTAACTTACCAATCGCATCTCATTCGCAAACGTTCCGGTTGCGAGGAACCCTAATAAGAAGAGGCATGAGAGTAATGCCCTTCATCGCTGGTTCGGCACGGAGCTGGAACCTTAAAGAGCTGGTTCGGACCAGCCCTCAACATCCAGCAAACAGGAACACTGGACGGTCGGTTGAAACCCAAAGAATTTGTATTCCTCCCTCATAAGAGTGGCGATATTCTAGGCTGCGTTATTGTCATTTGTTGATAGAGCTCCTTGTTAGGGTAAAGTGGTGGACTGGCTTCTTGTTTGGGGCTGGTTGTCCTTCCAGAGCCGCAGTAGCCGCGATCCCAATTGGCTGAGATCGGAAATATCACGTGAACTACTCCCGAAACGGCTAATGACTTCGAGGGAGGTAAAAAAGTTGAATGACAATGACGCTAGGTATTTATATTCATATTCGCTGACATCCGATTCTTATTACATCCAAGTTTCTTCGTCTAGACAGCAGATATGGCGGAGAAGTCTATGGTGGTTTGCCTTGACTGTAAGGTAGCGCCGGCCACCCAGATAGTACGCAAGCGGGACCTCTGTCAGTAAGTTGTATTTCCTATGTCCATCTTGTTGCCGGTAGCTGATGAAACATTTTACAGAGAGTGTTTTATTCTGTTTATAGGGTCCAAGGTTGTGAAGCGCATGGAAAAATATCGTCCACAGAACGCTCCCAAGAATAGGCAGAGAAAATTACTCTTGCCCCTCTCCTACGGCATTTCGTCCTCGACATTGCTACATATTCTGAATCTTCAACTAGAGCGGCAAATTTCGAGCGGCTTAGGACGCCGCGCTTATGACATTCATGTTCTTAACATTGGAACTTGTGAACAATCCGATAGCCACCGACTAGGTTTATTCCGTGAAGCTTATCCTCTCCATACGTACACCCAAGTGCCTTTACATTCGATATTCAAGCATGATACTACCATCAAGGATGTAATATCAGAATATGGAGGGCCAGAGTTTGCAGATGATCCGTCAAAGACGGACCAAGAACGATTGGACATTTTTCGATTGTCTCTCTCTACTGCGACCGCTAGAGCAGACATTGATGGGATATTGCTGACGAGACTAGTTGTTGCCATTGCAAAGGAGCAGGACTGTGACGGCATCTTATGGGGAGACTCTGATACTCGGCTCGCCTCAAAAGCTCTCTCAAATGTAGCCAAGGGACGTGGTTTCTCTGTGCCATGGGATGTTTGTGATGGCATGTCGCCTTGGGGGATCCAGTTCAATTTCCCCATGCGAGACCTCTTCAAATTTGAATTATCTACCTACGCCTCATTGGCGCTCCCAAAATCGCTTAATGTTGTCGACTCAGAACGTCCGTCTGTGGACAATCTGTCTAATAAGAACATGTCGATCGAAGACCTCCTTGCACACTATGTGGAGACGCAGGGGCAAAAGTATCCGGGTGTCATGGCAAATATCGTTCGCACGATTAACAAACTTCAACCCCAGTCCGCCGATACTGATCATAAGTGCATGTTATGTGGCATGCCGGTCGACTACAGCGGGGAGGACCCCGCAATTATTGGTGGTCAAGGAAGTTCTCAATACACATTACAGGATTGGCGAGAGCGACCTGTGGCTGGCACCTTGTGCTATGGATGCGCAAGGACGCGGTTGGATCTTGTGCCTCCAAGATCTGTGTCAAGTTAGTGTGGGTGGGATATTGTATTGTTCCATCAATTTTTAAAGCACCTTTCGGATAGCACACACTGAACGTTTTCCTTTTTGTGTTAGCCAACTTCCTAGCCTTGCCGGTCCAGCTGATACTTTTAGTACAGCTCAGCAGAGCTTGGAACTGAATTCACTGTATTAATTGCGTGCGCAATTGGTTCGTATATATACACATACTTGCCTTTTTTGCTGGAAATGGAGACCTTTCCTCCATCTCTCTCCGAACTTCTGCATCCATAACTCCACAAAGACGATATCTACCTATACGAAATCGATACCATTCTGTATCAAACGTGGGGCTAGAATAATATCTGGTTGTGAGACAGGCTGCTGGCCTCGCTACATCGCTATATCCTGGATCGCCGCCCTTGCATAGTCGGAATTTTGATGATTTGATATGTCAGACATACTACTTGGACATGCAGCATCCCAATACCATTCGGGGCGAATGTTACACGAACTCCCGAGCTCTGAAATGTTTTGCATTCTTGTTGATAAAGTGTTATTGTATCTCTTAGATATTGAAACGAGATATATGAAATAGCTCGCTCCGTTATATATTATGATTACGCCAATACGACTAACTAATGGGTATGTGAAAGCAGACAATACAAGAAAGAAGTAAAAAGGAAATGGGTTACATCCTCCCCATTTCGATATCTGGCTCCCTCTTGCGCTCTGCAGATTGAGCAGGATTTCTCGATGACGGCCCGCCCATGTGAGTTCGTGCTGGTTGTGGTCGAGAAGGTGAGTCGTTTCTTGGCGGACAAGACTTAAGTCCTGAATATTTAGTCGTTGGTCGTGTGTCGTGACTGGTATCAATACGCGCAGACTCGTGCAGTGGTAAACCTGTACGCTTAAGGTTTTCCTCCCCGCGCTCTTTCAGCAGATTTTCCAGGAGGACGGCGTTCCGGGTATTGCATTTATAGACAGCATCTGCAAGGTCGCCGATGAAAGGAATCAAGCCGATGAAGAAATCGATAACGATATTGAAGAGCATCCACATTCGAAGGCGCGCAGGGAGACCGCCTTCTATTTTGTTACAGGTGTTTACCACCATCAGGGCCATAAACATATCAAGTGCATCACCGATTCTGATTTTAACAATGGAGCGGAGATCAATTAGATGCTTTTTCGCCTTGACACAGGGGTGGTATTGTTTGAAGGGGAGCATTTTGTAAAAGCACATACGCCGGAACAAGACCAATGACACTGCTCCATCCGAAGCGAATTCCGCAGAAATTGAAAAGGCAGAGGTCCAATCTATATGCCCGCCGCTTCACCTTGGTAAGTATTTTCGCATCGCGGGCTGATATGCCTCTGTGCAGCTTGCGCTCTTTTCGTCGTCG